GGGAGGGGCGGAGCCCCTCTCCCGCTTATATGTACTGTTTCCTATGTTTCTATGTATACATTATGTTTGGATTAACTGTTTGTGGATTGTACTGTAAATAACGTCAGCTTATGATATCTGGAATTTAATTCCAGGGTAATCAAAATTCCAAAACTTTAAAATCAATTACCTCGGATAAACGACCCTCATATAGTTGTATCAGGAAGTTACTCAGAATTTCATCCTTTATAACATATTTCAAAATGAAAAAAACCAGTAAGGTGTACCCCTTTCTATATATTAGGTGTACAAATGAATAATTCAAATTATTTTAAGCAGTTATGAAATCAATTTTAAATTGAATAGATTTTCCCGCTCTTTTGTGATTACGCAATGTTGACATATTAAAAAGGCTATTAAATAGAACATATAGTTTGGCGAAAGGTCCAACATAACCTTCAAAAGTATTCAGTTCAGTACAGTCGAAAATGGCAACAGATAAGGTGCATATCCGACACTGCATTCTTTACGAATTCCAACAAGGAAGAAATGCTGCAAGAGCATGCGAATCGATTTGTTCCTTTCTCGGCGAAGGTGATCGTATCGTACGATGTATGCGCATTTTGGTTTAAGCGGTTTAAAAGCGGTAATTTCAGTCTAATCGACAAACAACGCCCTGGAGGCCCTCCGAAGTGCGATAATGATGATTTGGAACAACCGCTCGCGGAGAATTCGGCACAAACACAAAAAGAGCTTGCAGAACAGTTGGGAGTAACGCAGCAAACGATTTCCAAACGCCTACATGAGATGGGAAAGATCCAGAAAGAAGGAAAATGGGTTCCGCATGAACTCGCTGAAACCAACAAAAATCAACGAGTGGCAGCGTGTCTTTCTCTTCTCAATAATCAGCGTCGAAAATCTTTCTTGTGGAACATGGTTACGGGCGATGAGAAATGGATACTCTATGACAATCCGAAACGCAGAAAGTCATGGGTAAATCCCGGCGAATCATCAAAATCGCTTCGGAAAGAAAGTTCTTCTCTGCATTTGGTGGGATATCAAGAGCGTGCTTTATTATGAGTTGTTGAAACCGGGTTGAAACAGTTACTGCGGACTGCTACCAACGTCAATTAATCTGCTTGAGTCAAGAATTGGAACGAAAACGCCCGTATACTGGCAAAGGAGATCGTCCAGTGAAATTGTTGCATAACAACGCCAGGCCACACATTGCTTCCAATACAAAAGACACCATAATGAGTCTTGATTGGAATGTCTTGCAGCACCCGGCGTATTCACCAGCATTGCTCCATCCGATTATCACTTGTTCCGGTCGATGCAACACGCCTTGTCCGATATGTACCTCCAATCAGTGGATGAGATCCGAAAATGGCTTGACGACTTTATCGTGTCCAAAGACGTAACATTTTTCCGAGATGGAATTCATCAGCTGCCTGAAAGGTGGCTTAAAGTTATAGAAAGCAACGGCGAATACTTTGAATAATTTAATTTACTTTCTTTTAAAATAAACCTTGAATGTAGCTGAAAAAATTGGATTATTCATTTGTACACCTAATATTTACTCTACTTCAAATATTGTACTTCAACGTACGATTATAAAACTTTAAAGTCAAATATTTCAGAAACTATAAGCGACCCCTATATAATTGTATTAGGAAAAGTCACTCGGAATTTCATCCTTTATAACATATTTCAAGATGAAAAAAATCGGTGAGGTATTTTTCCCTTTTCTATATATTTACCTCGAAGGGGGGAGGGGGCGGGAATACCGGTAATATCGATATATCGAGTATCCCCGGCTTTACCCACTGGAGTTTGGAACTGGAGTTGAACTGGAGAGTCACCAATTTCTCCGCGGATCTCTGCAGTTACTGGAGGGGAGACGATAATGAGGGACGATGCACTCTGTACGTACCGCGCGAGAAATTAGTTTCTCCGGTCTTAATTTTAATAGCTTATAAGAGCCCTCGCGCGCGCGCTGAGTTTCTCTCCTCGGCTTTTCTCTTACTTTCCGACCCTTTTCCCCCTCCCCCCCGCCCTCGCCCCGGCTGCAGCCTCTTTCTCTCTTCCCTTTCTACCCATCGAGATCTTTCTGTCTCATTGGCTTTCTACCTCGCTCCAGAAAACGCTACCAAAGATTCTTTGATAACTTTGTCCTCGCTGCGTCCCCCGCCGCCGCGCGCGCGATGAACTCTATAAAGGGAATCGCAGCGGCGAGCGATCGATAAGGTAAACGCTGTCCGAACAGCGCCAACTGATTTCAATGTTCCATAAGCACGCTGTTATCGAGTACGATTATTTATCGCCCGCTTTTTGCGGCCAAAGCCCGACCCGGAAGCATCTGTCGCGGACGAGTTACAAAGCGCTTAATCAAAGCTCCTTTGTCTCGTGATTTTTTGTGCCCCGACTACGTGACTAGATAACCGAGATCGCGTCCATGTTTCGTAATCAGAAATCTATTTCCTGTCGCGGGGGGGAGGGGGGGGGACGAGAGCGGCGTCGGGTCTCGCGCGGCTTTTCCACGCAAAAATATTTTTTTTTAGACGACTCGCCAGACAAGATGGAATTCGGGAGCAGCGTGGTGAATGAAACTGCGCGCGATATTCGAAACGCGTCGCATCAACGGCTGCTGTTTAGTCGCCGCCGGCTGATCGGTGTCGAATTCTCGCTCTCGCTCTCGCGCGTGACACGCGCGTATAATATACGCGACATACACCGCGAGCAATGACATCTAAATAAAGCCTCGGGCGAAAATTACGAGTCATAAGTTTCCCAGGAATGAAACTAGTGCGCAACCGTTGACAACAATAACGCGCGCGCGCGGCTGCGGGGTGCTCCATTGTGCCGGAACGCAATTTCGTCGGATTCATTCACCGGCCCGGAGATCGATTTATGATGTTTAACGCGCTATCTCGCCAATTAACGAAAATATATACACACACGCGCGCGCACAAGCCAAGCGGCAAGTTGACTATTTTCCGCGATATCGCGCGTGTATGCGAAATACGTGTTATCAGGTGTTTATTCCCCTCCCCGCCCCCCGCGGCTCACGGTTCTTCTCGGTCGTAGCCGCGGTGATTTATCGCCCGACCATGCGTCGAATGTAAATTACACGCGGATGTGCATCCGGAATAGAATATCGACACGCACGGGCCTTCGTTATATCTCGCGAGGGAACGTCTCGTAATCATAATCCTTGCGCCATCCACGCGAGAAGTTACGCGAAATGCGGAGTACTACATATGTATCTCGACGATGTGCTTCCGCGAACTGCGCTGAACTAGACACGTTACGCGCGACATTTTTACAGTTATGTACTTTGGCACGTCTCGCATGACGATAATTGTTGTTACCTCCCGGCGCGTTATTCCCGCCGGCCGTTTTGCGCGTCGGCGAAGAGCTGTCGCGACGAAATCGCGAATCGCTAAACGATCAATTTGCTAAACAAAGCGCATTGATTAACAGACATTAGTTGACAACTGGACGCGCGCGTGTCGCTGAACGGGGCCTGATAATGTCACCGCCGCGAGATTTGCACAGCGCGGCGCACTTAATCAGATTGTTAATCAGCGGACGTTACGGCCGCTGTGAAGAAGAGAAGAGAGAAAAGGCGAGAGGAGAGAAACCCGGCGCGGCGTCTCCTAAAATTTCATCGGCATTCGGCTGTTTCCCCATATCGGTTTTCGATTGCGGTCGCGAATTTCTGCGATTTCGGCCTTTTAGCGGCCGAGTACGGGAAGTAATTTGGAGCGGACAATATCCGACATGCATAGGCCATGTAACAAATTGAATTTCGAGTATTGCGCTTATTTGCCGAAAGCCTATCACGATATGCTTTCGCTACGTTACGTGGCAATCATTTACGAGTGCCGCTTGAGTTGTATACGAGGGTAGCCGAGTGAGCGGCGAATGGATGCACCCCAAAGTCTCTTTTCCGCTCCGCGTGAGGCGTGTTCAATTTTCGACTTTTGGCAGGTGCAGCTACCCTCCCGCCCCCTGCCGCGGACAAAACGCGCAAATGTGCAAAAGTCAAGCCGAATGAAGAACTGAATTAAGACTGTTGGTAGATGGTCCATTTAACGGAAGGTTCTTCTTGCGATTTTCCAATCTTCCCGAGCTAGAAATTGTTTGTTAAGACCATCGTCATGAAACATAAGGCCCTGACAAGGCTGAAAGTAGGATGCTCTAAAAAGGGATGTCTCATATTACGTCAGGTCTCATATTACGTCAGCTTCGAGATGGATCTTTTAGGGATACCTTAGATTTTACGAAATAAGGCTTTGATAGAGAAAGCTTAGAAGGATTTTTTAGGGATGCCTTGATCTAATAAATAAGACTTTGATAGAGGAAAAACTGATATGAGCCTTAGAAGAATCTTTTAAGCATGCTTTAAATATACAAAATCAAGTTTTGTTATAGAAAATTAATAAGATCTGAAGCGTGTGATAAAATTGTCATATTTTAGTATTATTTTAGTAGGTACGCTTTATCTGGTTCTTTTAAAGATTTTTTAATTATACCGCAATTTTTAAATATACCGCAAAGACAAATTTTATTAGTTCATTAGTTGCCATATTTATTAGTATCTTCCAAGGATTTTTCTAGTATTGCCTTCGTTTTGAAATGCAGCACACTTTAATAAAAACAGTAGCAGGATTTTTATGTGTTATTTTATAAAATCATTTTTATGATTTTATAAAGAATATTATATTTTATTGTAAAGTACACTATATTTTTAAAATAAAAACTTTGTCATATACTAACAAGGTTATAAAGAAATAAGGAAATTATAGTCTAAATTTCTTAGAATGTAAAGAACGAATATTTTTATTCAAACTATAATAAAAATATTTCCTTATAAAGCCTTATTAATATTGCCTTATAAGAACCCGTTAAACAATTTGTTACACATCTTGTAGAATCCTTATCTTTCTATCCTTGTTAGGGCCTGATTAATGTTAGGGAAAAATAATCAGGCCCTTACCAGAGCCTTATTAATTTTTCTACTCGGGTTCTAAACGTCTTCTAATGGCGTTTTACAGCCTAACTGACGGGGCGGTTCGATGTTCGAGAAACTGAAAGTAGAAGAAACAAATTGCAGGACACGCGGCGCATTGTCGTCGTTGGCCGTTCCTCGAGCGGCCTCAAACGACCTGGCCGGAAATTGGACTAATAACAATCCAATATCGCCGATTATTTCTTTCGCGGAAATTTTGCCCGATAATTGCGTGATTGGCCAACTTATTGCGCTCTCTCGCGACGGTTCGAAAAAAGGAAAACGAAAAAGAGATGAAAGAAAACCGGCTCGCGTTATTGAAAGACCGCCGTGTGATAACGGCGCCGCGCGTTGCGAAAGCAACGCCGTAAAAGTAGGCGAGTCCGCTTCTCGTTGGGGAAAGAGAAACGACAATATTACTCGAGTGATCCTTTAATGAGCGTAACATTAACGAGGTGATCAGCGATTGTACAACAGAGTGCGGCCGCCCCGCCCCGCCGTGCAGCTTCGTCGTCGACGTGGCACCTGGTGGCACCTGGCCGCACGGGCTAATGATATTCCTCAGGCTGATGATGATGATGATGATGATGATGATGAGGAGGAGAAGGAGGAGGAGGATGAGAAGGAGGAGAATTATAATGCTGTTGAACAGGATTGCCGCTTTGGTGGCTGTTGTGCACTTGGGCGTGAAATCCGTCTTTACCCGCGCGATACTTCACCGTTCTGATATTGCCATCTGCATCCTTCACGGTGTACTCGCCGAACACCTCCGTACCTGCAAAACGTCGACGTAGGAGTTATTTATCTTGCGCTCGCTGCCCCACGCAAAGCTGGCACATTTGGGACGCGCGTTATCGTTCTCTTTTTTATGAAGACGAATTGAGATTTACAGGAGCGCGACGGAATACAAAACGCTGTGCCGCTCTTTTCGGAAATCCGCTGCAGCTCGCGCAAGCCCTACACTCTTCGACGCTGCTGCACGATTTTTTCTCGTGCAAAAGTTCCGAGATATCCGAGAGCGACAGATTGCGTGAGCAAGCTATTGCACAGTGCAAGGCCTGTTTACGTTTCGCTGTACGTTTCATTAAAACGCGCGACGAATCGGGATATTACGTTTATTCGCACGCTGTATACCTTCCGCTCGTTAAAACGTTCATTTAAACCTGGTCGATTTCGAAATCGGCAAATATATGTAATATGTATAGCGAAGCAACTGTTGGATAAATAATTTCCCTTAAAGCAGATAATTTGCACGGGTTTTCATCAAATCTGGATTTTCATTTTGCTTTGCATTTCGGGTCTCAAGCGATCGCAATTGATACTTTTATTATATACGCGTTAATGAAAAACGTCATCTCTCATCAAACCTTAAATAAATACGATTATTTAAACGAGATTTGTTTATTGAGTGTAATAATGGATATATAAATCCCAACTTAATCGGATAAGTATTCGTTCAACCTCCATTAAATTACGGATTTCTACGGTATGTTGCATCCAAATATATACAAATTTCACTGACGCACACAACCGTAGGGTGTTTAGTGTTTGCCGTTAAACATTAATTACGGTTTCATTTTAAAACGATAATGACCAGAACGTGTAATCGGCCTAAAGTTTTGTTCTAACCGAGTGAAAAAGACGGCAGTGACATGGCACGGTTGCTCGAAAGAGAGAGAGAGAGAGAGAGAGAGAGAGAGAGAGGTGCTTTTATCAATAGCCGCTATCTAAGCGTTATATGATTATGAACTTTTCAGCCGGCGCACATCTACCTTTGAAGGCGGAAATGCCAAAGCGCGGTTTTTTAGAAGCACTTTTATCGTTCCTAACTTCTCTCTCGGCGCGTTGCTACGAAATCTCTCGCTCCAGTTAAAACTTGACGACGCTCGATGACTTCGTTTTACGTAGAAAATAAAAAAGAGTCGCGCTTTGTGGAAATACCATTAGGAAATTATGAGAAACTGGGCCATCGAAAATGATGTTTGCCTCGGGGTTATGGGAAATTTCGTTTCATCCTGACGTGAAGGTTACGCGTACGCGCGTTACGATTACCTTCAAACGAGACGAGCCGGGCATAAAGCTAAGATTAGTATTTATCGAGTGCGTGCCTCAAGTAAATAAAACGGTCGTTGTTGGCTTGAGCCTGGTGTTTCCGCGGGTAGGGGAGTACTCTTCAGCATTCAAATTGTCGGCAGAAATGCGGATCGCGTAGAAGCTGTCGCTCTTCCAACATTGTTCTCAACACAACACAGAACCCCGCAAGCGTCTTAAATAAAATATTCCCAACGTCATCGACCGTTCGTTTGAGGCACGAACGGAGAGAGAAAGAGAGCGAGCGACAGAGAGAGAGAGAGAGAGAGAGAGAGAGAGAGAGAGAGAGAGAGAGAGAGAGCGAGAGAGAGAGAGAGAGAGAGAGAGAGCGAGAGCGGCGTGTAAGCCAGGTCGAAGGAATTACCGTGTCGCGACTATTCATTGGGTATTCCAAGAGCAACATTATAAAATTGCTCAAGCAAAGGTCACGTTGCCACTTTTATTCGCACAATCAGTCTATTCTACGTTCGCCTCGCTACATTTGTCAGCTTTTTTCTCTCTCCGAGTTCCCGGGGCATCGCGATTCCGCGTACGTAAGTAGGTTATTCTTATTCTCCTCGTTCGTAGTACGTACGAGAAGACAAGAAGGATCCTCCCGAGACGGAGGAGATTAATCTCCATTCAAACTACGCGAGCTTACCGTCTCTGTATTCCTTTTGACCGTGATAATCGCCCGTACGCCGGTCCTCGACCCCGTACGAGAAGGCGTAATGCGGATGAGCCACGTAGTCCTCATGGTGACGGCCGTCATCGTCCCTCCAGATGACCTCCTGGTCGTCGCCCATCACCGGGCCGTGGAAGTGCTGGAAAGAGTGCGCATGGCCAGCCGACTTCGCGTTAACCAGGAGCAAGGTTGCGAGCAGCAGTACGGACAGGATGAGCTGGCAAGAAGCACCTTGATCTCGTTAATCGACTGGCCGCGCGAATGAAACGCTCGTACTGAGACACGGGATGCGATTTAGAAAACAAAAACATCAGCTGCGCGACTGCAGCTGAGTAGTAGCTAAGCAAACGAGAGGAAGGACGAAAGCACCTCGAACGCGCGCACGGCTTCCTCGCAGGAAGAACCGTAACAACTACAGGGCGAGCTCTCAATCGTGCCGAGCGTGACGCTCGGGCTGGTGAGTATTAGCTGACGGAAAACATGGAAGCGCGCGAATTGTGTCGGGGGAGGGAGGGGGAGGGAAGATAGTGGAGGATACGTGGAAGAGAGCAAAACACAAGCCGGCTGTAGAATTCACGGGTCTTGCGATGAAAAGGGTGAACGGGCGGGGGAGGGGGAGAGATAGGTGAATTACTGGGGAACAAAGGAAGCGGCTTAGACCGGATGAGAAAGAAAGATAATATAGATAAGGAAATTCACGGGGGGATGAGTGCCCTTTGTCGTGAATTTCAGCGGAACGCAGTCGGCGTTGGACGCGTCCTCTTCTTTTCGATATTCAAAGTGCCCCGACGACGACGTACGAATGAACCGTAAGGTAAACTTTAATTAAGATGCGTCCTCCGTGTTGACGGGAAGCTGGGCTTGCCGGGATGTTCGTTTGACACCGTCGAAAGGGGGGGCTTTTACATACATCACGGCACAATCTCTTCTCGCGCAAAATGTGCACGGAATTAGTTTCCCCTGCCGTTCCTCTCTCCGCGCGTAATTGTTGATTCAATCTCGCGAGCGCGAGCGTCTGATCGGGGATCTCCCGTTGGAATTTCGCCGGAGAAACATCAACTCGATACGCGGCGGAACCGCGTTTCTGACCGACAGCTCGCGCGATTTTGCGGACACGGCGGAAATGGAAAAGTGGGGAACAGACTCTCGCCGGTCGTGAACTCGAAGCAGCGGCGAAATTCGCCCGGTCTCACCGCGAGCGTCACACACTTTGCTCGCGAGGTGGAGACGACAGGTGGGATGATAATCATGCGGCGTGGTCACTCACTTTGGAAGTCATCATGATGCCGATTCCCTTCACGCCCGCGATCAATCCGCGTGACCCGCACTCGCCCCCAAAACTGCGCGATTCGCCCGATGCCATTGTTCCTTTTATAGGTCCGCTTTTCAAGTTCCCCCTTTGCTTAATTCTTCTTTGGATCCATGCCCGGCAGTTGGGCTGAGCGCTCCCGCGGACGTTGCAAAACACAATTATTCAACCGGCCCGGCCGGCGCAAAAAGCGCCGCGGTGCTCGCTCAAGCGCACATTGGCCAATCCCGGGCTAATGGTGGCCGCTCGTTGCGGGGCGGGAGGGGGGACGAAAAAATAGATCGCCGGACTCGTCCGTTTCTTTCGCCTCGCGACACGTGCATATCGATCAGGACCGCGCGATCGATAGCGTCGCGAACACCTCGCCGTCGGCCGTCACGCACGGCGACGCGCGACGTTCGCCTGCGATGTTGGCTTTTCTTCCGGTGCGTCGAAAAACTGCTACTCCCGTGGTCCATTTTTCTTAATGTGACTTCTTCTTAGATCCGATATGCCGGGAGCAGTTAGATCGACGTGGATGACGAGACGGAACGAGAGAGGAGATTGCGAGCGCAGTGATCGTTTTTAGATCGGCGGACACTTTGTCGACTTTGTGAACTGTCGACTCGCTCGGTGACGGCAAACGGATGAGAATGAAATGGGTTTGTGTGCGAACTCTCGGCGGTTGCCTAAGGACCTTCGATTAAAATAAAAGTATACCGAAACAAGGACGATAGATAAGAGCCAAACGCCGGTCTAATGCGTCACCTTGGCGCTGCATTTTTGGGCATCATTTTCGTTTGTAAGTTCGACTTTGCACATCACAAGCACATCATAAACACCTCCACAAACTTTGTGACAGACACATTTTGCATAATCCGCTTGGAAAGTGGCCGTAATAGCAGCATGTGAATCAATCGCTCGATAGATAGATGTGAATGAGTAATTATCTCGGTCTCTCTCGATTTGACCCCTCTTACGCTAATCCGTTAATTAATCTTCTCGCTCGTCCGTCTCCGTTGACATTGCGAGTTAATTGTACAAAATTTGGACGATTGCCGTAACGTTGAAAAATTCTTGCGCAACCGCTCTCCGGCTCTCCGCTCGCCGGCTCTCCGCTCGCCGCGTTGAAGTAGCGATACGCCAGAAAATTTCGCACGACATCGTCGAGTGGTCCTCCCGTGTATTAACAAAAAGCGGAAGACTCCATTTGCTCTCACTTTATAGTGGAACAGAACGGAACGAAACGGAACGGTGGGTCTTAGAGTGGAGAGGGTGGGCGGTGGTTCAGGAGGGGGTGGTTCAGGGGATGGAACAGAGCGAGGAACGAGACGAGAGGACGAATTCTGGCACACGATGCGCTGGAGCGGCGGAAGTGCTCGAAGAGGCGCTCAGGTTTTGAGTTATGACACTTTTTGAGTCGAGAAGTCGCATTGTGAATGGCGCATCCGGGTCCGGCATAATATCCTACCTCGATCTCAGAGCGGGCCGGCGATAAATCTGCCTTAAATAAGATTTGCCGGCGACACTCCGGAGAAATAAAAGGAACGTGCTGGACGACGGCGTGGAGACTGGAGGATGCCAGCTTGTTACCTCTTCGACTTCGGCCCGCTGATGCGCTTCGCTCGCCGGTTCATACCGCTGGAGTTAATGAGTAGCCTGGAGTCTTCGCTTTCGTCCTAATTGCGAGCGCGCAGCAGCAGCGAGCAAGCAAGCAAGCAAGCAAGCAAGCAAGCAAGCAAGCAAGCAAGCAAGCAAGCAGGCAGGCAAGCAAGCAAGCAAGCAAGCAAGCAAGCGAACGAGCGAGCGAGCAAGCAGTTTCGATCTCAATTTCTCATCTACTGCGATGACTCTCGCCGCGTATAAAGCAAATGATGGCATATAAAGCTCCCTTTTATGAACCTTTACACTCAAAGTTTATTCCTCCAGCTTTATCGAATAAATTGTAAGGCGGTGATAATGTGTAAACGATATCCAGTTAATGAGAGAAAGAGAGAGAGAGAGAGAGAGAGAGAGAGAGAGAGAGAGAGAGAGAGAGAGAGAGAGAGAAAGAGAGGGAGAGCAGTCTCGTCGCACAGCAATTGTATAGTGAAATACGACCGCGTCGAATATTGCATTTCGAACGATTTATTTTCTTTAGCTGTATTTCTCTGGCAATTATCATACGTCGTCAGAGTGTGGTAATTTCGTTTTCAATAATAATGGTTATTGCTTGGTATTATTAAGATTGGCATCGTATAAAGAGGCTGTTGGAGTTGCATGTTACGTTGTAATTGTTATTTCATGTTTCGCGTTTTTGCGAACCCAGTTCGCAAATGATTTGTACATTGTGCATATCGATATATTAGTGTTAATTGTACGTGTTAATTACCGATCATTCCTATAGCGATGTGTAATCGATTGCGTTTGTTCCTCGCGGTGAAAGCGAGAAAATTCCCAAATCCGTGCGTTTGGCGTGCGAAACGAAGGAGCGGAGTGCGCTCACGGGAATGCGCGAATAAATACTGTAGGTCGAGGCACGACTTGCTGCAGCAGCTTTGCGATTGCGAATTATGTGTATAGTTTCTCGAGTTTTATAGTCTCTCGGAATTATGAAGTTATACCGTGAAAGTGACGGCGATAAATCAGGCTCAAGATTAAATTGTAGGAAACATGATTTGTTGCTGACGTAAAATACGAGGAACGCCAAAGGGAAATTGCGCCAGTTTGCGTCTGAGTCGGCCTCGTATGTGCGTTTTCCACGACAATGCGCATTAATCATTTGTTTTGTGTTTCCATAAATTTTTATTCGCTCTAAGCATGACCTGGTCACACCCACACATGCACACACACACACACACACACACACAGGTAAGAAACGTAAAAGCAATTTTGTGTATTGCTTAAAAACTCTCTTGTTCCGCTTTGATATCAACGAGAAGCGTTGTCTTTGCGACACTCCGATCATATTCGAGAACACGCATTTTGTCAAAATTATATAATCTACTATGTCTGATTAAATAGCATTTATGAGACGAGCGACGAGCGGCGGACGCATCACTGACAATTTCCAACGGTAATTCGCGCCTTGCGCAGGCTGAACCGACACGATGTGATTCGACGATCCCGCAAGCATCGCGCAAAATCCGTAAGGTCTCGCGCACTGGACGCGCAAATTGTCACTTCATTTTGCGGACAATTATTGGCGCATCTTGGCGGGGGACGTCGGCCGCACTCGCGCGTACATCCCCCGGACGAAATTTTGTAATTTCGGCACACGCGCTCGAGCTCGCATCACGCGGGTCATCGGGGCCACTCTATGAAATGCAATTCGTGTTTTCGTTTGCATCCTGCGGGACAGGCTTTCACGACACGGGACAGTTCACGCGTGGAAGCGAGACAAATTGGCTGATGCGTACGTTAGACGATAAATCACGATATTCCATTTTATTTCACCCCTTCTCGCCCGGAAAAATCTATCGCTCGTACGCCCGTATTTCCGCTCGTCCCTTGTTCTTTCTCTCTCTCTCTCTCTCTCTCTCTCTCTCTCTCTCTCTCTCTCTCTCTCTCTCTCTCTCTCTCTCTCTCTCTCTCTCCCTTTCTCTTTCCTTTCCTCTCCATTTTCTCGCTAACAGCAGGTTTGCATCGAATACGTATGCATTACGCGACAACTATTCTCCTCGACGCGGCTCACTTAGCGAACTATCCTTTTATCCGCTCGCGCGAGGCTCGATTTGAATTTTATAATGCTTTTTAATAAACCGCCGAGTGATATCGACAGGGTTATTAATGATCATCGCCGCATTCGGCTCGCCTGCGCACGGAATCTCGAGTACCAGGTATTAATGCTTTAATAATGTTTTAATGAATGTGCTCGACGTCGAAACGAGCGCGAGATCAGTATATAATGGCGCGTAGTTTCGATCGATTAACATAACTATCGCGTCGTAAAGTGCAGATAGAAAAGAATTGCGATCGCCATGAGAGATATAGCAATCGCAGCGCATGTTACTGTGCGCAAGGAGAGAAGGCAGCACAGCGCTACGTGAAATTACGAAAATTATCATAACTTTCATTCTGATTTATTCGCAATTATCATACGCCTGCGTTTAGTTGACTCGCGCACGGGGTATCGCATAAATTACGTTGAAGATAAATTTTTTTCAATCTTTTTTTAATAATCTTGAAAATGTCCGAGGTATCTGGGGCATGGTCTCATCAATCGCAAGCGACGTTCGCATCGTTAAACCCCGCTTGGCGTCGCACGATGCATCCTGCTATTTCCTGACTCACCTCAGCTGCGAGAACTCAAGTACGAGAAATTTTACACGCACTTCAAGCGTCGTACGATTTAAATAAATTAGAGTTGAAACTTTCAGAAGACGAATGAATTATATTTGTCAAAATTGGCAGCACTTTGTACATGAAATTATTAATTGCGAATCGATTGACGTCGTGTCCCGTTTCTCCTCTCTCTGTCCTTCTGCAACGAGCTGTGAAAAGGAATATATTAATCCAGCATTAGAAAAAGGGAGAGAAGCGTACGTGATCGTTTTTTAATTAAATGCACAGAAAAATGTAACATTTCTTGATTTTGACTTGTTTTAAAAGTAAAACACGAGGAAACTCAAGTCCAAGTTACTCGCAACGTTCCTGAAATTTAAGGGGGGAATTACATGCGGAGCAGGCCGTTTTCAAGATTGCTTTTACGAATTTTTTTAACAAAAGAGGCAGGATCAATGGACTTGAAATTTTCACAGTGTATTGGTTAATGTATTTACCGCTGCGCAAACTGAAGAGCCTGAAATGGGATGTCTTAACGCATCCACCGTATTCTCCTGATATCGCACCATCTGATTATCACTTGTTCCGGTCATTGCAAAATTATTTAAATGGAAAAAACTTTGACTCTTTGGAGGCCTTAAAAAACGGCGTCTCTTCGTTCTTCGAATCTAAACCGCGCAGTTTTTATGATCGAGGCATCCGTATGCTGCCAGAACGTTGGGAAAAGATTATAGAAAACGATGGAGAATATATCATTGATTGAATAAAGATTTTTGTTTGCCTAATCACTGTATGACTTTTACTCACAAACTCCGCACGAACTTTTGCACTCACCCAATACAAAATAAAAATAAATTTGTTATCTATATGGAAAGTATACATAAAACTTTAAACGCGTTTATCTGGAAACACCATTTTCTGAAACTATCGATACGATTACGCAAAACCTACTGAACCGAATAACTTGAAATTTTTACACATTGTACAGTAGACATGTAATCTTCGCCCGTACCTCGAACGCAGTTATATTTCATTTTATTCATTTTTTTAAACATGATTACAAGTTGAA